TTTACTTAATTATCGGGTAAGAGAAAATCCAAATTTTGTTGTCGCATCACGATAAATTATAGCAGCACAATATAAAGTGATCAGTCGATAGCTAATCGTTTAAAAAAAACTCCAATATAAGTCACAATCATTTAATTTCTATTCTTGAAATTTAATCTATTTGATAGCTTAAATCAACGAAAAAAGAAATGCCTCGATAGAAAGTTTATAAATTCAACGAGTATCAAACGAAGATCATTAAAATCAGCGAAATCAGACGAACCGTATACACTTAAAAGAGAATACTTTTAGCAATATTATTTATCCTAATGTACCATTTCCTGATGGTAACGTTACAAAAAATATCAAGAAATAATTTGCGATTAGAAAAATGCTTTCTACTTTTTTGTTGCATTTAGTGTTCCTTTGAAATAGATATTTGTTTTTTTTTCCATTAGAAAATAGCGGGACTTCGTTCTCGTTGTTGCATTCATCTACAAGTTACCGAGTATTGTAATCACCTCAGTTCTTGCTAAGAGAGTACATTATTAGTAAAAATATTTAAATAACTTTATCAAATTTATTTATTCATTCTTTTTCAATATACTTTTATCTTCATCATGTAAAAAAAATCACGTTTAAATCTATTTAAGAACACAATGATAAAAATGACTCACAGTGAGTGTGAAAGTAGAGTGATTTTTTTTATCGTATATATTTTACATGTTACTATACATTCGATTCATAGCTGAGCAACTCAATTCAAAAACTAGGCAATTCAATACATGATTCGAATTGAATTGAGTCAAATTGAAAGAAAAACTTCCTAACTGATGAGTTGAGATGAACAGAATCAAAAAAGTTTTTAAAGATCTGTGAATTCAGTTTCTTTTCGCTTAAATCAAAAATCTTACATAGATATATTCGCTTGAAAACACTTTTATGATTTTGTCTTCATAATAATTTCGACATGTTTTTATGAGTTTATTTTCAAAAATATCTGCTTGCTTTATCGTGGTTGACGTACAGAAAATTACTCAATTTCTTTTACGAAATCTGAAAATTCACCAATACAAAAAGGATATTCAGCATCAGAAGGAAGTTTTCATTCCTTTCCATATCTATCCCAATAGCTTAAGCAACTCATGTGAAAATTTAGTTTGAAAATTAGAATGTCAGGATCTCATCTTTTCGAGAAAGTTTACTAGAAAGTTATGATCTGGTTGAACATGGAGTTCGATAATCAATAAAATTTCATCATGTTCATAGCTTCTAAATCAAAAATACAATTATGGTATTTAGTTCATGAAAATGTTCATTTCTTCATCGTCATATAATTTCTTTTAATTTTCTACGTTGATAAGGTGGTTAATTTTCGTTCACTCTCTATTAGACATTAGCGTAAGCACGGTCGTTTGTTCAACAAACGCAGACTACGTACATGAAATCGTATGAAATTTGATTATTATTGCAAACATAGTCACATATCATATTATATCTTATAAACATAATTTTATTGAACTGGCCTATTGATAATTGGAATGAAAATGAATTGAAATGATTGACTTGTTTGTTTTATATGAAGCTCTATATTCCAATTACACTTTATACATTCTATAATATTTATATAGATCAGGTGACAGACAAAGTAATTCAATCACAAATTTTAGAGGAAGATTATATAACTAGCGAATAGGTATCGATATCTACTCAAAATAAGAATTGTATTTTGACTTTTACGAAAACAAACATATGTCAATAGATATTTTTATAAATCTATGACTCTCTTTAATGAGAAGAGTTTAGACTCAGTGTCGTCTCTCATTGAATCATTGGACGTCGAGTTTGAAATACATCTATATCAGTGGTTTTGAGGAACTTATATATTTTTAAAGAAAATAGTGAGTGTAAGTTTTAAGTCGAATTTTTGCGGCTTCTCTTCCCTCCCTCCACCGTCATCTCCATTACAGACAACTCCTCATAACAGATCTTAGCAATTGAGGATAACAGGCGTCAGATTTTCTGAAGTTTTTTTGCAAAGTTGATGAAGTTATAATTTTGAAAGATAATCAACATCATTGTTTCTGAGTTACTTAACATATATATATATCTAATAGTACATAAGATCTGCTACAGATATAATAGATATGTAAAACAGATGTATTTGCCAATTAATTCAATGATTATAATAATAAGAATGTTAAATTAAGAAAAACAAATTTAAAAAATGAATAATAAGGAGCGAATAGTAACAATGCAAAATAAAAAATAGGGTGCCCGTAGAAAAAGAAAATTTCTGTTCGAAATGCAGAAATTAGAAACACTCTTACTCTGATGTTCGATTATCCTACAAAATAACTATAGTCTACAAAAGACTTTTCACTTTACAAATTTTGTATTAGTTTAATGAGGCTAGAGAATATATGTTAGTTTAATGAGGCTAGAGAATATATGTGAGTTTCACATTTCAGCCCCAAAGGAGCTACGCTAACAAGCTTCCTATATTATCAATATCAGTATAGAAAACTAAGAATAAAAATATATATATAAGCATATAAGTTCAAATAAATCAAATATTATATCGTTTTCTATATTATATATATAGAAAAATATTTCCAGGCATATGGTAGAAAAAAATTAATAAATATATTATTTTCTATATTGTCAGTATAGAAAGAAACCATATGAAATAAAATAATTTCTGTATTAATGATATCAATATAGAAAAATAAGGAATACAAAAATATATGTTCCAGCGTATAGCAGCGGATAATAGAAAAAAATTTAATTTTTCATCTTGAGATAGTTTCAGAAAAACTTGGACATCGATATTTTTTCTGTCGAAATATTTTGTGAAGAAAAACGTTCTCTATTATGTGAAAATTTCCAAGATACAACTGTACCTTGACTAATCTATTATACAAAGCGTTTGTGAGGTCAAAAATGATTTTACGATTACAATAATAGAAAACATTGACTTTCATAACACATCATTATGTATTTTGTACATTTCTCCATAACAGAAACTATTGAATCAACAATTCTCAAATAAGTAAAAGAACATGATAGATCACACAGAATCAAATAAGAGCAGACAAGACTTGGATTATGTAATGCTATAACTTTCTTTTGTTTATGAATCCTATTTAGTCAGATAAAATCAGATCAGAGTCCTTTACTCTGTTCTTATATATTTCTTAATCTCAGAATCTAATACTATGTCCAATGACATCTTTTATTCTGAATCTGACAAAAGCTTTAAAAAATGCATCTATTTTCACTGTCGCTTTTTTATCTCTTCTAGTACATTTCTCTTTTTTCTTTCCGGTCTACTTTACATCTCATGTATATCCCTTCTCTCTTGCATTCTTTTTGTGCATGGCGTCGCATCTAGTCTATTTTCAATATTCTTGTTCAGAATCTTCGAGAAGATTATTATTGTCCCGAGATTTCTATTATATATATTCGCCCCTGTGCCTATGATATTCATTATGTTCAGAAGAATTCAGTGAAAACCCTCCCAGAATCGGTTTGTGATGAGCACTTTGTTCAGGGAATTTTTTGTATTTACTGTTCTAAATAAAGGAAAACTACAATTCTAATAATTACTTTACAAGACTGAAGAGGAAAACAATCTAATTTGGGCAAGAATACCACTCCAGCAATCAAAATCATAGAAATATGAATACATGTTATCATATTATCTCCAAAAATTAGCTTGGGCATCCAAGGGTTAAATACACATAAGATTTTGAACACAATTAAATCTACGATTGATATCAAATGGTAGCACATTAATTTATTGCTTTATAAACCTTCTCATAAAACTTAAAGATAGGCACCTCCATTCTGTCCTGTTCCTACTCCATTTTAACTCTGATGAGAAAAGAGCATCAAATTTGGAGTTGGAATTGCCCATCTCTGATATCAACCATTTCAAAATACTTACTCTTCAGATCCTCCTGAACATATCCATAACATGCGAGCTTACAGAAGACTTCTCAGAACAAGTACTACATAAGGATTATAGCATGATTCTCATAGAAGATACTCATTATTTTTAGATTTTCAGATTTTGACAGAGTATCTTATTTAGTCATCAAGATTCTTTTCGAGGATCCTAATACAATGGTTTGAAGATGGTGTTCATCAAAAGTTAAAAATAGCATTTTAGAACACTTTCTTTTCAAAGCCCATAAAATCCATAGATCCCAATGTTTGTCACTGGAGAGCTCCGTTAGGATTGACAGCCATCTTTTCAGCATTTGCAAAAGTAGAAGCCCTCTCAGATTACATAGATTCGCGTGAAATCCTCTCAACTTTGTTCAGTTTCGCCTGTATCCAAGCCTTCTCATGATCTTACTCAGAGTACATCACGGTTGTTCTTCGAACAGCTTCACATAACTTATCAAAAGCCTTATAAAATTCCACCGACATTCTCTATGCAAATACTTAGGAGATTCTTTGGCAGATCTACATTCATCATAGAGAAAATCATGTATTCTTAAGGTTTCCTAAAAAACATAGGGATTAGGTTTGATATTTTGTTGTTCAACGATTCGATATTCTTCTCACAAGATACAGATAGAATCTTCTCTGATGTTCATATAAATGATCATTCTGCCAAAAAGATTCTGAATTCTTGCAATTCTGAAAAAAATCCTCAGATCCTTATGTTTTTCTATCAAAAACTTACATAGAATTAGTATTACTCTTTCTCCGACAAATCTCCTTACAGCAATCTCCAGGTGTTATTTTTATGATTAAAAAGATCTTGGCAAGAACTAGAAGTAACATAGATGTAAGAATCGTTACCAAATCCTTTTTTTTCTCATAAGAAACTAGGAAAAGACTGCTGAATTTTTATCTGTGGAATGAGCATTCTCAAAGACGAATGTCGTATTTCTAGCGCCTGTTCCCTCGAGAGATGGAATCTCTTCAACAACGACGATTTCTTTTCTTTTTTGTTCATTGTAGTAATTCCCAATATTCCAGCCGATGCCCGATGGGCCCAGAAGGGGATGACTGTTGCTGGAGGTCATGGAAAAGGCAGTGCCACCAATCAACTCTACTGTCCTTATGGTCTCTTCGTTGATGATGATCAAACGATTGCCATCGCTGACTGCAACAATCATCGTATCATCCAATGGAAGATAGGCGATACGAATGGACAAGTAGTAGCTGGTGGTAATGGTTATGGAAATCGATTGGATCAATTGAATTATCCAAGCGATGTATTCATTGACAAAAAGACGGATAGTCTCATTATTTGTTGTTGGGACAATCGACGAGTTGTACGATGGTCTCGTCGTAGTGGTACAACTCAAGAAGAAATCCTCATTGACAACATCAGGAGTTGGGGATTGGCCATGGATGATCAGAGATATTTCTACATCTCTGACACTGACAAACATGAAGTAAGACGATATCAAATAGGAGACAAGAATGGAACTATTGTAGCTGGTGGCAATGGCAAAGGTGCTGGTCTCAATCAACTCAACTATCCGACCTACATCTTTGTTGCTCAACAACAGACTGTCTACGTGTCAGATAGCAACAATGATCGTGTAATGAAATGGAATAAAGGTGCAAAAGAAGGAATTGTCGTCGCTGGAGGTCAAGGCGAAGGGAATGCTCTGACACAATTGTCGTCTCCTTACGGATTGTTCGTCGATACATTGGATACCATCTATGTGGCAGACTCGATGAATAATCGAGTGATGCGTTGGCCTAAAGGAGCGAAACAGGGCACTGTCATTGTGGGTGGAATTCACCAGTTGAGTGTTCCTATCGGTTTGTCCTTCGATCGACATCGCAATCTCTATGTCGTCGATTCTGGGAATCATCGTGTTCAACGCTTTTCATTCGAATAGACTCGTCGTGATAGATTTTTTTTGCGTTCCTTTCGTTTCAAATAAATCACATTGAATTCATGAAATCAATGTCTATTCTATTCGCGTGGGCGCGACCAGGAACCATCCTGGTGGAGCCGTGGCGAGCGTAACGCTCATGCACGCACAGGACAGACTCATATCATTCATATCCTTCCCGCGAGAGATATGTCAATGAGTCTGAATAAGCCTGGTCGTGTGCCACGGACACCAAGACAGTTCCTGGCCGGGCTTTTAGGGACTGCCCGGAAGTCCTGTAAATAAGAAGAACCTAACCTCAACGAACATAACTCACCCACTCTCTACTAACACTCACTTTTCTTAGTCTCACCCTAACCCCTGAATCTCACTACCTATTCTCATCTCAAAAAAAAAAATTACTTACCGTGTCTGATGTTGATGACACGATGATATTGATAGCTGAAAGAAACAAAAACAAATTTAGTCAATGTTATTTAATGAAATAGCATGAGATGACTTACCCTAATGTTATCTTTTTCTTCATTATTTATTCCCTAAAATAATAAAAAAATAATAAAAAGATCAAAGGAGGCCTTACCCCACCATCCTTATGATCGTAAAATAAAAAAAAATAAAAAAAAAGTAAAACTAATACCTACATTTTATTTTATTGTCTGGCTTGTTGTTGAATTGATTAATTTTGCATCATCGAGGCCAATCTAAAACAGAAAAAGAAAAATGATTATTATTTGATTCAAAAATTTGAATGATTTTACATAGAAAATCATTCGCATATATACCTTGAAAAATCATTTTTTTCTCTCGTCAAAAATGGTATACATATTTAATTGTACATGTTGATCACTGATCGTCAATGATAACAACATGAACAATAACTTATGGACGAGAGAAGGACAAAAAAGAAAAAGAAAATTTCTCTCTTCACATATATTTCTTTTTTCTTTCCATTCTCTCTTGTTAACATTAACATATATAATGATTTATTTATGAATTTGTTTTTAGATTGTATCTCATTTGGAATGAAAATGAAATTGTTTTGTTTATTTTTATTAATGGTAATCAATAACAACATTTATATATAATTATTTTATTTGTTATGACAAAATACAAAATATATTACATCAGACGAACTATTACTTAAGTAGACATACTTAATGTTAAAAAAGTTGATTCAATTTCATAGACTGTCCAAAAAAAACAAAACAATGGAAGTTTTTAAACACTTAAATTTTTACAATAATATTCTTTTTGGACGAACATATCTAAATATCAACAAAATTTTAGATCAAAATAATCCATTACAAAAATTTGAAAAAATCTTTCTTTGCTAGGTGGATTTAGCACAATAGAAAAGAATGAAACAAGATATATTCTTCTTTTGAATAAAAATTTATTTATATCAACATACCTATTCTATACATATCAAGATCAACAATTTGGTATTCATGTACAAGTATGTATTAATCAATAAAGAAAAAAGATTAAAAAATGTATATATAATAATGTATTTAGTGATTTCGAGAATTTTATGTTTAGTGAATAATGTTGATAAATCCATGTGTACAATTAATTTAACTAATAATTAAACAACAACATCGTCAGATTTCTTCATTATTATTATTTTCACCGTCAACATATGATTAATACTATACCGAATTCGGAAACATTTTAATATTAATAAAAATGAGTATGTATTAGATGACAATATTGTTATAAAGAACAAAATATTAACATATATAATTAGTATTTAATTGGAATGGAATATAAGAGAAATCGAATGAAATTTAATATTAATTTTACAATGTTATTAAATATTATTCATGTAAGATAATTATTCAATGAAATATTTTTTACTAGTTAAAAAAAAATTATAGCGTCTGTTGAGTTACTTGTGAAAATATTCTGTTGTTAATAGACTCGACCAATGTTATTATCGCAAAAACTATATTTGCAAAAAAAAACATCATAAAATGATTAAGTATCAACAGACTCGATATTTTTCTAAGATTTTTACTCGTCATATACTTAAGAAAAAAATCTATGTGTACTTTTTCTATAAACATTATTTGATTGTTCGATACGATAGCAAAGTCTGAATACGAACTCGCTTCTCAGCAATTAAACAATAGTTTTGAAAAAGAAAGCATAAATTTTTTTCTACTTGTTGTTTATCAGTCGAATAAAACCATTAGAAAAAAGTTATCGAGTTTAACGAGATTTAATGTTTTTGATGTATTTCAGTTTTCGTAGACTATAATGAAATTCTTCTCGTACTAAAGCACGGTTGTCAGATCGAAATGTTTTAACCAAAATCCGAAAAAATTCGGATTTTTTTATATTCTACTTCGGAAAAAGTTCGGAAAGCAGTTGTTTTAC